CCCACGCTGAGCCTGGGCTGGGACCTGTATTTGGTCCTGCCGGCACAGGGTAGCAGGAAGCTTTCCCACTACACTCACTGGACCTGGGCTAGGACTGGGTCTGGGGGTTCCCAGAACGCAGCAGAAATTCCTACTCGGTGGGTGGGTTGGGGGAGGTGCTGCGGAGTGGTGGAGGGCATTCCACGGGGGTGGGACAGGGTCTCGCCCACGCTGCGCCTGGGCTGGGACTGGTATTTGGTCCCGCCGGCGCAGGGTAGCAGGAAGCTCTCCCACACACTCACCGGACCTGGGCTAGGACTTAGCCATGTCTTAATGAAGTCTTGATTTATGAACTTCTTTTTTTAAATATTTATTTATTTATTTGATGCAGGGTCTCACTATGCAGTTCGGACTTGTAGTGATCCTCCTGTCTCAGCCTCCCAATATTGAGATAGACAGATACAGAATGCCTTATTAGAATTTATGCAGGAATGAAAGGATGGTGCAATATTAGTGCATTTTACTACACTGGCTTAAAAGAATGCCACATGAAGCTCTCCATGTCCATTAAATTTAATTATTATAATGTGTATTATTTAAAATAATTTTTAAAAGTCATAATATTAGAAGTAGAAAAGAGGGACAGGGTTATAGCTCAGTGGCACAGTGCTTGGTCAGCAAGCACAAGCTTCTGAGTTGGATTTCTGGTACTGAAAAGAAAAAGAAATAGAAAAGAAACAGAATTATTAAATGAAGCTACATAAGAAAAATGCAGAGCAGATCTGCTTTTTGGATACACTGTAGGCCCGGGAAGCCAGCAAGAACTCCTGCTGACCCTGATGCAGTGGATTTGCTTTTCAGACTGTAAGGGAGTAAGAGGCCATGAGAGGACAGCGAGCAAAGCGCTGACACAGCCGGGGTTCCTTTGCACCAGCGTTCACCAGCTAGAAATGATCACAGAAAGTAAGGCATCATCTTTAGCAGCCACACCAGCTATAGGATATTTAGGAAGTGGCCATGTGGTGGCACACCTCTGTAATCCCACCACTGGGAAACCAAGGCAGGTGGAGACAAAGCAGAGGGTTGTCAAGTCCAACCTTGACAATATAGCAACTTAGCAAGGTCCTGTCTCAAAAATCCAAAGAGGCTGGGGACATAACTTAGTGTGAAGGTCCTAGGGCTAATTCCTAGTACCATAAATGAGTAAATAAATAAATAAAAAGCCAGCTAATATGAGCACAAAAATTTTATCAATAGGGTTAAGGCTCTGTTACAGAGCATGGAACACACCTGAGTAAGTGTTGATATGCTAGGGTCATATGGGATCACTGAAACCTGGAAGAGTATCAGTTTTCATGAAATGAATGTACAGAGTTATTCCAATAAAAATTCCATCCAAATCTTTATTTATTTATTTTTATTTTTTGAAAATTTTTGTGGTTTTATTGTATCATGAGGCATTGAAACATCTGAACAAATCAATATTTGGGTGGTGAGGCAGCTGCTTTCTCCTTCACTTCTTTGGGTTACTAGAGTAACTTGTCAGTAGATTAAAAAAAAAAAAAAGACAACCTTTTGCATTACTTAAGTCTTTCCAAGGCATGCGCTGGTACAACACAAACTTCTCCTGTCAGATGCAACTAGTCTAGTGCCCAAACATCATGCACAACACTGTGGTGGCAGCAGCGCGCTGCACCCACTTCCACCACGGCCCTACTTGCTTGTGTATGATATTTGGAGCATCTGGAGGAGTGTGATAGTATCAGGAAGAGGAGGGAGAAGGAAACAGCATGAGTGCCGGCGGGGAGGAGGTCAGCCAAAGTTGTGCAGGGCAAGCCTGAACATGTCATTGGTGCAAACCCAAGCGTCATTGATGTTCTTTAATAGGAACATCTGGTGGAACCCCATGATGGGGTCTTCATCAGCCTTGAGCTGGCCCACAACCATGCTGATGATGCAGCTATCTGGTGTAGGCTGATGGTCCTGTGCTGTGATGCTGTGCTGAATTTTCTGGAACGGAAGGCTAGACAGCTTCTCCACAATGGCAGCTTTCCCCTGGAACTGCTGTCCCTCCCACGTAAGGCATGATGCATCTATATAAATTGCGCCTAGTTGGGTTCTGTCATTATCAAATAACTGGTAGTAATGTTGAATGAAGCTGGATCCAATCTGCTCCCAAAGTGGCTTGTCTCCCATTCTGGAGTGTCACCCAGTATCACTGAGACCCGCGGGTCTGGCACGATGGCGGCCCATCCAAATCTTTAAATAACTTGCTAATTCTAAACTTTCTACTCTGTCTGTCTGTCTGTCTGTCTGTCTGTCTGTCTGTCTGTCTCTCTGCTCCATCACATGTAATAACTAAGTCATTTTTGGAAAAAGTGAAGTTGTGGATGTTTGTTCCTGTGTATACTGAGACACACTACAAGCCATAGTAGGAAACTCAGTACCATGGCCATAGTGAGCATCCCAGACAGACCCTGTTCGTGGGGAGGGAAGACACTGGTGGCCCTGCAGGAGCATGAGTGAGGAAAAATTGTTTCACAGATGGTGACAGAAATTGCTCCCCACAGGGAGATGGAGAATACAAAAAGAATTAATGGCCCCAGGGTGGAAGATTGTATTGTAAAGCTAAAGAAAATATGTGGAAAAATCTTTGTGATTTTGGACTGAAACAGAATATTTTTAAAAAAAAATTATTTATTTATTTGATGCAGAGTCTCGCTATGCAGTTCGGACTTATACTTATCCTCCTGTCTCAGCCTCCCTAGCACTGGGATTACAGGTGTGCACCAACACATCCAGTTTTGGGTAGGCAATGAGTCCGGTACCCGGGTTCGAACTTGGGTCCTTGCACTTGCCAGGCAGGCACTTAGATCATTGAGCTATCTCCCTAGCTGGAGACCAAACTTTTTATCATCTCCCACCACACAAAACCTAGATTTGAGGTCATCAAAATTAAACTGCTGGGGGCTGGGGAGATGGCTCAGTAGAATAAGCGCTTCCCTGGCAAGTGCAAGGGCCTGAGTTCAATCCCCGGTTCCCTCCCCCCCCCAAAATAAAGCAATAAAAAAACTAAACAGCTGTATTCAACAAAGCACACTTCAGACACATTTAAGAGAGAATTGAAATGAGAGAAGACTTAAGCACATCAGAGTGACCCAGGAGACAAAACAAATGAAAACAAGGAACTCAGCCCCAAGTAGACAGTGTAAATCTGAGCAGACATAAGTAATCAGACAAAAGATTATACTATCAGATTGAAAAATGAACAAATAGTAGCAGCTAGTGTTGGGAGCATATGGAGAAGCCGGGAAACTCGACCACGCTGAAGGCAGGTACATCAGAAGAAACTGTGTCAGCGTCTGTAAACCTGCACCCCTCGAAGGACATTAATCTAGAGAACCCCTCCAAAGCCCCATCAGTCACCCCGGCTGCCTGGTCAAGGACTTGGTGCTAACAACTTTAAGGGAACAGAAATGTGAAAGAGATCACTTGTAGCCATCAGAAGCAGTGAGAGTTCTTAAGAAAGTACTAAGTGAAAAGGAAAAAAGCTTAAGATTCCCTTTAGGTAAGTGAAGGTATCTCCTCCCCAAACAACGTCCAGCCATTCACACTCAGGTCGTGCACCAGATGGTGGGCAGCTCAGGAAGGAAGCAAAGTGGAGATGCGAGAGGGAGGGAGGCGCTCGGGCGTCCGGCGCAGTGGCCAGGCGCACAGGTTCCCCAGTGGCTCTGAATCCAAGCTTTGCTTCTCACTGCTCTGCTGCTGCAGGCAGCGGACCACTTCTCCAGTTAAATTGTCCCAACCATGAACAGAATTGGTGGCTGAGCTACTAAATTGGCTCATCTGCATTCAGCTCTGCCCACGGGAGGCGGAGCCTGTGTGCTTTGACCAATAGGCTGCAGAGAAGGTGCTACTCCGGGACGAGTACACCCACGAGATACAAATCCAACTAGAATGTCTTCTAGGTCACCCAGCTGCAATCTAAGAAGACATTGTGAAACTTCTGCCATGGGGAGCGATGGGCCACGCTGAGGGCCTCTGTGTCGCATGCGTGGCTGTGTAAGGCCGGGAAGACGCTGTTTTACACCGTGGAGTTTCGTGTTTATGGCCATATATTAAAATTATGAGGATTAAGAGGGAAAATCTGAAGTGATAATATGGCCAGTGGCTTGTGGGAAATGCCCGGCGCCTTGTAGGTATTTGTGGAATGAAAGGGAACAGGGGCCTGCACAGCTCGATGATTAGGGACAGTGGCCGGTGCCCCGCACAGCTGAGTGGCCGAGGTTCAGGAGGGCCACGCACCCCAGGGGCCACCTCCAACCTGCGCACATCTCTTCATTGAGTGCTCGTGCATCTCCTCTCCAGTGTCTTCATGACAAACCAGTGAAAACTGCTCTTCTATTATGGAGCTTACACTGACGGATGCTCCTGTGCTAAGGCCCTAAAGCAAATCCAAGGTCTGCGGGGGTTAACAAGCATCCAGGAGCCTGGGACATGGGCACATCACTGCTGTGTGAGCTAAAGCAGGAAATAAAAAAGTTATGGCTTCTAACCCTTCTCTTCCTGCACAGAGTGAGCGAAAAACAAGTGTTATGGACCAACATATATGATGAACTTAATTCTTTGCACCCAGATATTCTCAATTATGGTTAAATATAATCTCTGCTGGGCATTCTCTGTTCGTCTCCCTGACGCAGAAACGTTGACCCTGGAAGGTGACCAGTGTGCTCCAAAAATCAGCGTCCCCAAACAGTAGGCTCCCAAGCTGACTGTCCTGCTGCTTTCTCTGTGCATGGAAGCAGCGCCCGCGGGAGGGCCTTACTGGATGGGTGTGGCAGCTCACAAGTCCTTTGTTTCTGGAACATAGGCAGCTGATGGGCTTTATTCACTTTCTTCTGTAGCACTAAACTCAGAACTAGAAAATTTTTATTTGTAATGAATTCTCAATTAGCCATACATTCCAGTATCAGAAAATGCAAGGGAAAACAAAATCTACATGGAATGCAAAGATTACAAACAAGCCAATACTTTCAACTATCAGAAGGGTCTTTTACAGATCTTTTTGATCCCACATGCAGTACCCAATAAATATCCACTGAGTATTTAAAATTAGCCATTTTTATTTTTGAAAAAAAATTATTTATTTAATGTATTTCGTACAGGGTCTCACCATGCAGCTTGGACTCAGTGATCCTCCTGGGTTCAGCCTCCCCAGTGCTGGGCTTCCAGGTATGGACCACCATGCTCAGTTGCAGTGGCTGACTCAGCATGCCCAGGGGTGGGGCCTGTGCACCTGTACTTGCCTAAGCAGGCGCTTAGTCCACTGAGCTATCTCACTGGCCCTTGAAAAGAATTTAAAACAATTTCTTTATGGTCTTTCCAACAGATTTTCAAAAGTGTTTGTTGAATTTCGGGCTAGGACCAAATAACCCAGATGGTAGCATCAGAGTGGATGGTGAGAAAGGGGAGCACACCAGCATTGAGAGGAGCTGGCCTTGCAGGTCTTGTGAGGATGGCTGAGGCAGACAGTATGTCCACTTCACAGAGGCAAAAACTGAGGCTCAGAGGCAATCACTTTCCTGCAATGGGCAGGAGGGACACTGCAGTCAGGATCTCAACTCATTCTGACCCCAGAGCTGGTTCTCGTTCATTCCTCTGGCACTGGGAAGCAGAGCAGAATCATGCCAGGATGACTGAAACAGCAAAGGCAAAGTGTCCAAAAGCTAACTGCTTGACACTGAGACTTCTGTGAAGCCAAAACAGGCGGGTGACAGCCTATGTATTTCTGTAGAACTGGCACACTGTGAGAGCTAGCAGCTGCCCAGCCACTGCTAGCTGGAGGACAGACTTCTCATGACTGGGCAGCTCCAGGCTTCACGAGGCTGCCTGCCAGTCAAAAGGAATGGTGTCGCTGTGGTCCCAACCTGCTTCTGATATAATCCCCAGCCCTGTCCCTGCCCACTGGCCTGAATCCCATCCCACTTCAGGCTTCTGAATAGCAGCTCTACATTCTCATCTAGCACCAGGGCCTACAGGAGGCACAGGCAATCTTTGGGCAGCTTCCGGGAACTCTGCACTGATGCTGGAAGGAAGCATCTGTTGATCTCAGTCCTAGCTCTCTCCTTGGTTCCTTGGTCTGGGAGAGTCCCCAGTGAGGCGGTGCAGGCACAGACCCACAGCTGGCCTGAGGACAGGGTCCAGAAGGAAGCGGGCCCCAGAGAAAATGGGTCCACAGCTGGCTGTTCTCTGAAGTACCCAGTTGGCTGAACTGAGGGTTCACTTCCATTTTTTCCCTCATATCCCAGATGAGTTCTTTCACTGAAGATGAAATGACTGTGGCTACAGGCGTGCCTAAAGTGAAAATCTGTGGCACAGCCCCACTACTTGGGGCAAGAGGCACCAGGATGACAAAAGACAAAGTAACTTTCAACATGCCACTTTTTCCCCCTTAATTGGATTTTATAGCATATTGCAGAATCTGCCTGATTGTCTGTGGAGCTCTAGAGTCTGTGGGGTTGCTATGTCCTGTGTCCTTCTCCCAGATGAGGACACTCAGAAACACATGCACACGCTGGGCAGGGACAGCACACTGGACCCATTTCAGTTAATTCCATCTCTGGTTTCACCATAACACACATCAGTCTCTGTGACATTCCTATGAGAAATGGTTAGGATGGCTGCACAGTGAAGTGTGTTAAATGTCAGGGGCACAAATGCATCAAGCCTAGGACCTTTCACCTATGCCCACCCTGGTCCCTTTTTCTGTTTCACTCTTGACCTTTCAAAAACAAAGAGGCAAAGGAAGAATCCAAGTTAGAAAGACCATTGGTAATGCACATGACACCTTCATGCCAATTAGCAAAGGACGTCCCCTTTCTGCAGGAGGATCCAGCCCAGGAGCAGGGCCTGAGTCACAGGCCCACCTATCCAGCCCTGTGCCTCTTGGTTGTGGTTCCCAGGATTGCTACCGAATGACCTGAGTTGAGATGAGGGGATGAGTGTCATCCAGGAAGAGGCAGAACGCCCCATGGGCTGTGCTGCTGATGGAGACCACAGCCTCTCTTGGGGAGGTGCACACTTGGCGCCTGGGAAGGGAAAACTGAAGCAATGATGGGCTGCCAGAGCTGGGCGGCCCAGGACCCGGGCACAGCCTCCTCCTTTCAGTTTGGACTGTGCTCCCCTCCCAAGGTGGGGATATAATCTAGAGTAAAGAGATACAGCACAGGCGCCCCATTAGGGCTACTCTCGCCAGCACTGGCGCCCAAGAGCTGCCTGGGCCCTTGACAGCCAGTGTCATCTTCTGACCCAAGACAGGAGGAATTCTCTACAGGCAGCTTCAAACAGGAGCTGATCCTGCCAATCCAGATTCTGCATTTCATGGAAGAGGCAGGGAAGAGAAGGGGCGTGGTCCCCCAGTGTGCCCTTGGGTTGCAAGGCGTCACTGGTTCAAGTGGCAGATCAGGGGTCAGTCTGGGTGGACGCGTCATTTGTCAAGTATATTACAGGGCTGCAGTTCACAAGCTACCAAGATGGACTCTTTGCTCTGGAAATTTAATGTGTGACAGCTGCATGCAGCCAGTGGTGGCCAGTATTTTAAAAAGGTCAATTAAGAAACGGTTGATGGTGGTGTGGCTAATGACAGCCCAGGGGTGAGCAGGGCCACGCAAACAGAAGGGCTGAGATGTATATTACTGGAATTGAAGTGTCGAAGTGAAGCCTTCTAGGGAAGAAATCTATTGTCACGAGCCATAAAGCACATCTGAGCTCGCAGCGGCGCGTAGTACAGCTGTTGCTCCCGCGGGCGTCGCCTGTAAGCTCAGCCCGATGAAGGGACCACCTGCATGGGCTCCTGGGCGCCGTAGGCGAGCTCTCACCCTCCTCGCCGCTGCTTGTGCTTCTGCACTTCCGCACTCCCCTTCAGAGGAGCAAGGGGATCTCAGAACGTGGGCCATGCTCTAGAACTCCACATGTTCAGCGTGCCCTGGAGCCCCTCCCCCCCGGCTCCTCCAGCGAGCGTGGGTGGGGTGGCGGCCGGCGTTTCCTCCGAAGCCACCCGCTCTGCCCGCTGCAGGCACACAAAGCCCGCCCCGGCGGCCCTGAACGGGAAGACATGAAAAGGGCAAGGGTCTTTGCGGGCCTGCTGCAGAACCGGCTCATGGCTGGGGAAAGGCTTTTAAAAATCAGACAAAGGGGTCCTCGATTAAGTGCAGGGCTGCTAGGACAGGCCTTCCCCCACGTCTACCTGTGAAGCTAAAAATTCAATAGAGCAATGAGAATGCTAATTGATATGCAAAACAGGTCTAAGGTTCCTAGAAATGTCTAATGATCCTCCAGTTCATTATGAATGCGGAATTAAGACATGCGCTAAATGAGATGGGAGTGGAAACACCAACCTTTTCGCTTTTCCTTTTTAAAACCTACTCTGGAAAGCTCACAGGTTTTATGCTTTAAAAAGAAAGAGTATTGCAATCAGTAGGGTTTGTCTTTCACACACTGGATATTTATTATTAGAAAATAGCCTCTATCAGCTGTCAGTACCAAACAAGTCGGAAGGAGCGTACTTCTCACCATCATTTTTTTCTTTAATGATATTTAAATAAACAGCTCACCATGTAGAGCGCTGCCACACCTATTTTTCCCTTAAAAAAATGAATAATTAAATGAGATTTAGTACAAAACATCCTTCAAATCTGACTTATTTTGCAGCCATTATGCCGTCTCCGTGAGTAAAGGATCTGAAAGATGAAAAAGACCACTCAAGCTATCAAATTATCCCCAAAGAATCCACATTAGAAACTGGGAAACAAAGAAACTAACCCAAATAAAACCCAACCAAACCAAGAAACCAGTTTTTACATTGGCTTTTCAATTTTGATTATCATCTACTATATATATATATATATATATATATATCTCAAAAAAGGAAGAATTGAATTGCATCCTTAGCAGAACAACCTTCCTCATATGTTAAAGAGGTGTTCAGAAAATTCCATACAGTATCTGCTAAATAAACGTGTTTGGCAGCTTAGCAAATATCATACGATTGCAGCATCCATGATTTGAAGTAAAACAGCATTTGCTTTCTTCCGGTGGAGTTCATTGCTCGGGCAATGTGCTAACGCGGCTCTGGCTGTTCTCTGACCCACAAAATTAAGGGAGGGCTTGGGGTGGCTCAGTGCACGGCCCCAGTGCAGAAACTTCCAAACAGCAAATCCACCAAATGACCGACCGCACGGACGTTAAACAATCGTCTCCTTTGAGTTCCTCTTGCCCGAGTGGAGGCCCAGCAAGGACTGCTGGTTAGAAGGTACGCTGACAGACTTTGGAATGAGGAGAATCACTCTCTGATTGGTCCGACGCCATTCATTGTACAATCGACAGTGGTACCTAAATGACACCTGGGGGAGGGAAGGAAGACAAAGAGATGGCATGTAGATAGGCAGAAGTAGATAATCAACTCAAGACATGGAAGTCAATAAATATACCTTCAGCGGGCCAGCAGCAGGACAGCAGGCCAAGAGCCCTGGCAACGCTGCTGCAGCCAGCAGTTGCGTGCTCTGAGCGTGGCACCAGACCAGGCGTCGTACGGATAAACGTGGCAGGGCTTACATGCTGGCTCATGCCACACAATAGGAAAAATCAGGACACACATAGGAAAGTGAGGCTCTGAGTTTAAATTTATTTTTGCATAGTGATGTTTAAAGCCCCAAAGTATCCATAGTGAAGAAGGCTGGCCGAAGGCAGGACAGAGCAGATAGGTACACCGCTGGCCTCTGCCCAGTGGTGTGAACGGAGAGGTAGTCTAGGACTTCATGTATTCTCCTGCAGCTTAGATACTGCACAACTCAAAGGACTGCTTTGTACCAGACTGGACAATTTGAAAAGCTGTATTTGGTGGCTCTGAGCATGGGACCAAGCTCTTAGGACACCACCATACTTGTTTCTCTCTCCCCTGCACTAGGAGCTTCCCAAGAGTAAGGCTTGTGTTATATTCAGTTTTGCATGCCCAGCAAGTATCACAGTAGATGGCACCTTAAGACACTGCTCGGGAGAGCTTGCTGAAAGAAAGAAAGGAAGAAAGGAAGAAAGGAAGAAAGAAAGAAAGAAAGAAAGAAAGAAAGAAAGAAAGAAAGAAAGAAAGAAAGAAAGAAAGGAAGAAAGGAAGAAAGAAAGAAAGAAAGAAAGGAAGGAAGGAAGAAAGAAAGAAAGAAAGAAAGAAAGAAAGAAAGAAAGAAAAGAAAAGACTGACTATCCTATGTATGCTGATCACTTAATTTATGATTTCATCAAACTCAAGCTTATTTATGTAATTAATACCTGATAGTACAAGTAGTGAATCCTATGGTCAGTTGTGACATGCCTATATTTCAAAAGTGCTTGTTTCTTTTTTATATAAATGGAGTCTGGACTTTTGACAATGTACTCTAAAAAAAATGAGGTAGATTACAGTTTGAGTGTATCCAGATATCTAGGTAAGTGCCCAAAAGGAAGGTGCCCATGAACTTAAAGTGACCAATCAGCCCTGCCTGGGCTATCCAGTTGTCTCAGGGCAGGTGCTTTGTGTAGACCCCTGTTAAGTATCCACAGAAGTCAGAAAGTGGACTGACACAATGCTTTAAGCTCTATGTTTCTGGAAGTAGAAATATAGGCCTTGACCAGAAAAAGCTTGTTACTTCTGATGGTAGGCTCATAAAATTCAAGGCCACTTGCTCAAATGTCTCAAGCAAAGAAGCACATACCATAGGCCAAGTTCCAGAGAGACTTGGGTATGAAAATATAAGCTTTTAAACTAACACATATATGCTTTCTCCAAAATGTCCTGGATGTGCCAAAATGGATCAACTCTTCTCTCTCTCTCTTTCTTTTTTTAAAATAAATTTGATTTTCTTGTATCTATTCTGTCCTGCTGCTTAGTGCTACTCAGAATGTAGATGAAGCAAATTGCAAAAGTTGGTGTCTAGGACCCAAGCAGGCAAAGGTGAAATGCAGACAAGTACAAATGAAGAACTTCCATAGTAAAAGAAGTCTAGAATCTGGAAATGCTATCTGAAAACTGGATTTTAAATCAAGAGCCCCTTCCACCATGATGCACTCTTGGCCTTCGCAATCCAAGATATTGAGGAAACAAGAGGCCACAGATTCTGGGCCAGGCACACAGAGCTGGAAGCCCCATCCCTGAACTGGTGAGCTTATTTGTCATGAGGAAGCTTTAGTTTCCATGTTTATAAAATGTGCATATTGATACCTAAGATAATGAGTATGAAGTGCTTAGCAGAGTCTTGCATACATGTTCATGTTCTTGGCCTCTTCTTTTTTGTGCATTAAATATATAAATGCATTAGATACAAAGAAACTGAACTGAGAGAGAGAGAGAGAGAGAGAGAGAGAGAGAGAGATTTAAGTCTTTGCTCTCCGTGTGGCATGCAGCAGCAGCTGAGGCATCTCCTGGGAACTTGTTAGAATATCCAAATTTTGGGGCCCACCCAGACCTGAGGAATCGGAGCCTGCCTTTTAACAAGATCCCCAGGTGATGCCCATGTACATTCAAGCCTGAGAAGGACTGCATCAAGGAGCACCAGGCGTCAATGACAGCAGGGCTCCCTGCCCCTTGGCTGGGAGAAAGATTTTTGTGTGAGCAGATAAAAAGATGAGATCTTATTAATCTACTTAATTGCTGTTAACTACCACAGGCTACAGGCAAACTGAATCAATAAGAAAGCATCATATGAAGATGATTCTATATCAGGGAAAATGAAAGAAGATAAGCAGAGGGTAGAGGAGACCACAGAGCTGCAGCCGCCCTGGTTTAATGCCCTCCCCTGTCTCTAGGTGCTCTAAGATGCTGCCTCCTCTCAGCGAGACATCATAGAGAAGAAGGTTTAATTGAGAGAAGAGGTTGGGGGGGGACCTCACAAGTCTAAGAACTGCAATAACAATAATAACAATCATAATAACAGTAATAATAAAGGTAAGTATTCAACTACATAGTTTTTGATTTCTGGTTTTAAGAGTAGAAGAAGAAAGGGCATAGGACAAGTATTTTTAAAATATTACTCCTTATGGAATGAATTTTTTTCTTTTTTTGGGGGGATGAATTTCTTGAAGTCAATTCCTTTATTCTTGTAAAGGACACTAACCTATCAGGTACAAAATTTGCCATCACTTGAATGGTGGAGAAAGTGTCCACCTCTCCGCATCAGGGAGGTAACTGAGGCCATGGAGAAGGTTTGCTGTGAAGTCAAGGCAGGCTTTGGGAAATCTTATCACATCGTTCAGTTTTGCTCTTTTGGGAAACAACGGCATGAGCTCACGTCCACCTGACTCTGCCACAGAAGAGGAATGTTTTGGAGGATACTGGTGGTGGAGAAATACCGCCCAGTTGTGTGGCTGTCCGCAGGCTGCTGGGGAATGTGTCTGAGCCAGCTGCCAGTGCTTCAGAGCACAGCTAGGGCACAGCCCTTCACAGCAGGAATTTAAGCCATGAGCCCTGGACTTGGAGTCAACCTTCGAGCAACTGGGCCATTCACTCATTTGGTCTGTGGGAGGCACTGGCTACAATAGGATGCAGCAAATGAAAAGACTTCTCACATTGCAGTGCCTGACCTTGGCAGTTTGAGCTGGGGCTGAGATTAAGGTCCTTCAGGGTTTCCATGCGAACATGGACTCAGCTCTCTGCTAGCTCTCCTTGTGGTGGTCCATGGCCTTCAAAAATTTCTTGACACAGTTTTTTTTTCAGCCGGAACCACCATCTTCCAGTAATTTGCCAAAATGACTAACACAAAGGGCAAGAGGAAGGGAACCCAGTATATGTTTTGCAGGCCTTTTAGAAAACATGGTGTTGTTCCTTTGGCTACATACATGTGAATCTTCAAAAAGGATGATATTGTAGCCATCAAGGGAATGGGTACTGTGCAAAAGGTATGCCTCACAAATGTTACCATGGCAAAATGGGAGGAGTCTACAACATTACCCAGCAGGCTGTTGGCATTGTTGTAAACAAGCAGGTTAAGGGCAAGATACTTGCCAAGAAGATTAATGTGCATATTGAACATATTAAACACTCAAAAAGTTGTGACAGCTTCCTGAAACATGTCAAGGAAAATGATCAGAAAAGGAAGGAAACCAAAGAGAAAGGTACCTGGGTTCAGCTGAAGCACCAGCCTGCCCCTCCCAGAGAAGCGCACTTTGTGAGGACCAGTAGAAAGGAACCTGAATTGTTGGAACCCATTCCCTATGAATTCATGGCATAAATGGGATATTGCTCTGCCATTCAGTACCTAACTGGCAGCTTAAGTGTTCTAGGTCCTACGTAAAAATAAAATCCTCTTGTGTTGTAAGGGTGGTTTTCTTAGTTGAACAGCTATATGGTGCCTTCTTACCTGAGAAATATATGCAGCAGATTTTCACTGTACCTAGTAGTTGTGTCTAGCCTTTACTCTTCAGTATTTTCTGGCTGAAAGATATTGCTGAGGTATTGTGCAGGTATATACCAAAAAATTCAAATATTTATAAAAGATTTATATTGGTTTTAAGATCTTGTAAATCATCATGGAGAAAAGATGTATCAAAATAAATGGAAGTCACTTCAGAAACCAACTTAAGTCCATTTCAGTTAAATAAATTGTTTAAAGCACCAAAAAAAAAAAAAAAAAAAAATTCTTGACACAAACAGTAATGTTTCTGGGGGACCACCCCCTTGGGGTATAACGGCTGAGGGTCTGGCCTCTGGGGTCCCAATTGAGCTAGAACACACAAGGGCACACAGGGCAGGACGCCCTGAGTTGGTATCCAGACTGGCCTCCGTGGCCCCAGAAGCCAGCGAGCACATCCAGAGGCACGCGCAGCGCGACACTCTTTCCTCTTCACAGCACTGGGTGGTGAGGTCCTTCCCGGAGCACTCCTCTGAGGAGCCAGGCTTGGACTGACACCGTGTTTGTTTATCTAAGACATTTTCACAGCATATTCTCCGTAAGCTTGACAGCTTGTTTACAATGGGTTTCTGCCGTAGGGCAGTTTCCAAGTGCTGTCAGCTCCTGAATTACTGCGCTTGCCAGCGCTGCTCAGTACAGCATTTATCTAGGAAGGAATTATTCTATATTCAGTAACCTATTGCTGAGCTGACTCCACAAGGCGTTCTTCACACTAGTCAAAGGGGAGAACTGCCTTTCTTTCTCTCCTGCTACTCTGCATTTTATGGAAGGCTGGGGGAGGGTGGAAGTTGGGCGGCAGGAGAGCCACAGAAAGACATCTCAGGGCCAGCACAGTGCAGGGGGCTTGGGGATGTGTTCTCAGGTGTTATCCCAGTGAATCCGCAGAGTAACCCCTGACCCAGAGGCTATCAATGATTCTCTCCATTTTTTATATAAGAGGAAAGATGAGTGAAAAGGGTAAGCACTCTATATGAAGTCACACAGCTAGTAGGATGCTGTGTCTTAGGCTTACACACAGCCCTTTGGATTCTAAGTACATGGGCTTTACCTATACAGTACTGCCTCTTGGAAATATTTCTGGGATGAGGTGTTTGTTTTCTTCCTAAAACAGCCTAGTCTAGGTGCCTTTTCTACCCAAATCTTCCTTTTACCTAGGATGGAAGATGAAACAGGGTCTCATTTTTTTTCTGGGTAGTATTCTGTTTTTCTTTTTTCCCCTTCTTCCTTTTCCTGCTGTTCCTCTTTTTTTTTTTTTTTTTTTTTACTTGTTAGGTAAATGTATGCTTTGCAAAGCAGATTTTCAAAAAGATCTTAGATTAATTTCAAAAGCACAGCATGTAGGTCTCACCTTCATCCATCCTTCATCATTTGAACTTTTCTAAAAAAGTCACATGCTTGAAAATGTCTAAATATTGTAAAAACTTAAACTTAATTATATTTTTCAAAGTATGTTCCTATGTATTATTTCCCTTTAATCTCACAACTCGAGGGAAGGTGGCCAGATGGCCAGGGAAGATAGCCATTCCACGTGAGGCCACTTCACAGCAGGAGACGGTGCTCAGAGCCGTGAAGTGACTTCCCTAGGTGGGGCAGTGGACTGAGAGTAAATGTAATTACACTATTTAATTTCTTACTTCCCACCCTTCTCTCATCACAGTAGAAGCTTCTAGATCAGCTGCACTGCGTGATTCACAGTGAGCCAGGACGCATTTTGGAAGCACAGACTTCTAAAGGAGGCAGTAATAGTTCTGTGTGGGGCTTCATTAGCCTGGGAACAGAACATCGAAATTAACTAGGAGACAGATAAGGGCTTTGCACTAGAGTACTGTCCATCTCCCAGCGCTTAAGTCATGCTCTCTTCCTAAGACTGGAATGTGTGCCCTGACTGAACATACCAGGGAGGCGGGCGGGGCAGGGGACACAGCTGGTAGAGCCACGGAACCGGAAGATAGAAATGAACAGGGTCCTGAGAATGGCAGCTCATGGAATGGAGCTCGGGAGACACGAAGGGAGGAAGTGTGTGGGGCCTGGAAACAGCTTCAACACGCAGGCGCTGTGCTGCGGGCTACGTAGCGGTACACAGGAAATACCTATTGATAGCGATGCGGCATGCTCAGAGCAGCAGCAGCCAGGCTAGGCGAGAGACGCCAGAGCAGCAGGGGCCAGGCCTCGGAGCGGAGCGCAGCCTACTAGATGGTGATGTTCGCAAGCATACAGAGAGAGCAACTGCATTTGTGGGTGCTGCCAGGGGGGGCCCAAGCGATCAGCTTGCTGCATGAAGTTAAAAGAATAAAAAAAAAAAAAAAAGAGGGGTGCTTAAAAATTGTTCCTTGGAGCTGGGGAGATAGTTCAGTGGAATAAGCATTTGCCTGGCAAGCGCAAGGACCTGAGGACCTGAGTTCAATCCCTGGTTCCGCAAAAAAAAAAAAAAAAAAAAAAAAAAAAAAAAAAAATTCTTCCTTATATCCAGCAGGAACCCTTGGCTTTTCTTTGGGGGTGGCTTCTCAGCTAGATAAATGAGTGCTTTTATGGGCAGCAGAGTCAATATCTCAACACACAGAATAATCATCAGGCAAAGTGCAGCTCCACATCCACGGACTTTAAGCTGTGTCAGGACGTCAGGAGAAAAGAACCAGCGCGGAGGATTCATGACCCGTGCAGGCGCGGCGGAGGCAGCAGCGGCCGGAGCATCATTCATGCTATACTACAATCCCAGCGAAAGTGAGAACCATAAACAAGGGAAAGAAATTGCCGCGGCTCATAACAGATGGGAGTCCTGCGTTACTGGAAGAGAGAAGCGCCCGGCGTGTGCGCCACTGACGGCTGCTCGCAAGAGCTGCACTTTTCCTTTATTTGATCTGTTCTTTCTTGCCGTTCTCTCCCTCTCTGCCTGTGTGTCTCTGTTCCTCTGTCTCTCTCTGTCTTTCTATCTCTGTCTCTGCCTCTCTCTTTCACACACACGCGCACACACACACACACACACACACACACGCACCCCAAATTCACGGCTGGGCAGGCAGGATGTGCTACCGACCCCGCCCACAGGCCATACTTACTAGTGTCCAAAAGAGGTAAATAGTGAAGAGTGCGACAGTGAGTGCAATCAGTCCGACGGCCTCGAGCCGACTGCTAAAGTGCAGGTGGTCCACGGCGCCCCGCAGGCACAGCCAGCCCGAGATGGTGGCCAGGGGCGTTATGAACAAGAAGCACACCATGTCTCCAAACAGAGTCCGCTTCTCGTGCTGGGGGCCAGGGTTTCTGAGCCACTGTCAGAAAAGGGGAGACAGAAAAGCAAAGGTGAAGGTTAACACCAGGGTGAAGTGAAGACATACTGCTCTCAAGATGTCCTTGCCTTCAGGACTGGGGGAAGAGGCGCTTCACTATTCTGAGGGCAGGACGAGTAAAGGGCCTTCCCGCTTCCTCGTCCCCTGAATAATAACAACTGTGATAGTCAGACCAACAATAGTTTACATGCCCTTGTAGGGGACGTCCAAGTCGCGAAGATCCTATGTGGAAGGCAGAAGGATGTTCCTCTTGGAAGGTGCAAACCTTGGACAAGTGTCCCCAGGAGGTGCTGTGAACGTAGGAGGGAACCTCGTGTGAGGTCCTTAGGTCACTCGGGCATGCTCCGAAGGGATCCGGGCGTCCAGGGCTCGTTCTTTCTGCTCATTGCGCCCTTGCTACTTCCCTCTGTCCCTCCGTCGGTCCATCCGTCCGTCCGTCCGTCCCTCCCTCCCTTCCTTCCTCCCTCCCTTCCTTCTTTCTCGCTTCCCTCTCTGTTGCACACGCTCCTGCCGTGATGTGTTGTCCTCTCCAGAGGGCAGAAACAATGGCATGTGGCTCTCAGGCTTGATGTCAAACCATGAACTGGAAAGAAATGTTTCTCTCTTTTTTTATATATATTAAAGAGAATCCCCCCAAAACAATGATACAAAATTTCAAAACAATATACTTGTAGAATATAAATGGTTAGTACATTGCTTATTGTCATCTTCAAAATAGTTGCTCAAATATAGGCATGAACAATTGATCAAATGATGTAAACACAAACTTTTCAATGAACTAACACAAATTATTAATATAGCTCTCATATATATTTTTTTCCATTTTCCCTTCTTTCTTTTCTCTTATCCCAATTTCTCTTTCCTTTTGTATAGTCTTTTCCCATTTCCCAATGTCTACTGTAATATTTTTATTCTTACTCTTTAAGCTTCTCACGCTAGGGAGATAATATGATATTTATACATGTGAGACTGATTTATTTCACAACTAGAGTATGGTCTCTGGTTGCAATCATTTACCTACAAAAGTCTCAAATTTATCCTTCTTTATACCTGAGTAGTACTCCATTGGATTAAAAAAGCACACCCTTTTTATTCATTTTGATAAATAATGAGAAACATTTGATGGGCATTTGGGTTGTTTCCAAGATTTAGCTATTATAAATTGTGCTGCTATAAACATGGATGCACATATATCACAGTGCTATGATGTTTTCAATTCTTCTGGGAAAATATCTAGAAGGGGAATAGCTGGGTGGAATGGGATCTCCAATCCTAATTTTTCTGAGGAATCGCCATGTTGATTTCCACCGTGGTTGCAGTCTACACTCCCACCAGCAGTAGAGAAGGGTTCCTTTTTCACCACAGACCATCCAGCATTTGCTGTTCATTGACTTCTTGATGATAGCCATTCCTTCTGGGGTGAGATGGAATCTCAGTGTTATTTTAATTTGCATCTCTTGAATGACCAATGATGGTGAACATTTTTTTCATATATGTATTTACTATTTGTATTTCTTCATTTGAAAAATGAATATTCACCTCAGATGGCCATTTTTGGATTCTTTAAATTTGATGGGTCCGATTATTTTCAATTATTATTATTATTATTTTGGCGTGTTATGGTTTGTGTATAGTTGTCCCTCCAAAGCCTCATGCAGTCTTGGGGCAGCTTCTGAAGTTTGTGATAGATTATTGTGGGTGTGGATGCTGCACCTGCCCTGGGCAGGTAATTTGCATTACAGTGTAAGGTGGGAAGAGAAGCTAGCTGCTTAGCTGCTGCTACCTCTCCTTTTGTGCTCTTCATTTATTTTTTATTTTTTAGCGGAACTGGGGATTGAACTCAGTCCCTTTTACTTGCCAGGGAAGTGCTTATTCCACTGAGCCATCTCCCTGGTCCCTCCTTTTGTGCTCTTGCTCTTTACCGCCGCCATGAAAGTTTGCCCTCTGCCATGTGCTGCTTTGCCTTGGAGCCAGCTGAGTGTGGACTGAAACCTCTAGTAACTGTGAGCTAAATAAACCTTTCCTTCCTTCAATTTGGGTGTCGGGTATTTGTCTCAGCAACGAGAGAAGAGTAACTAAGACATGGTGGAACCAGGGATTGAACTCAGGCCCTTGTGCTTTCCAGGGAAGTGCTTATTCTACTGAGCCATCTCCCCGGGCCCTGAGTTTTTTATATATATATTCTAGATATAATAAGTCCTTTGTCTGAGGAACTATTGGCTAAAATTTTTCCTACTTTGTGGGCTGTCTTTTCACTGTGTTGGTAATTTCTTTTGATGTGCAGAAGCTTTCTATTTTTAAATTTTTTTTAATCATAAATTAACATTTAGGATAGAGTTTAGTCTTGCCCAACTCCTTGACCTCGGGAGACATTGAGGGATACAGATGTATACACATGTACACATACACATACATGTATGACTGGTTCTCACAGAGATTGGAATATCATTGAATGTATACACTTGGCAAAATTAATTTTTTTAAAAAAGTAATACAACCATGTTTAATTTTGTGAGTGTAAGCCAGTAAAAACAAGCTATAACATGATTATTTTAAAACCTACTTTCAGGAATCATGCTGTATATAGAACTTCCTTTTTTTTTTTTTTTTTTCTTTGAAAAAGCTTTCTAATAAGAAGAGATCTGAATTGTTCATTCCTTAGAGTATTTCCAATGCAGTTTGGGTTTTGTTCATGAAGTCTCTGCCTACACTTGTGTTTTCAAGATTTCTACCTCCTTCTCTTCTGGTGGATTCAATGTTTCTGTTCTAATATTTACACCTTTGATCTATTTTGACTTTACTGCATGGTGATGGACATGAGTCTAGTTTTAGTCTTTGACATATACCTTGCCAGTTTTCCCAGCACCAATTATTAAAGAGGTTATCTTTCTTCCAGTGAACATGTTTGGGCCCCTTTGTCAAAGATAAGATGGCTAAGTGTGTTTGTAGTTGCTCCTACAAGACCTAATTTGTTCCACTGATCCTCAGATCTGTTTTTTTTTTTTTTTTCCAGTACAAAGCTGATTTTATTAGCTTTGTACTATAATTTCAAGTCAGGGATTGTGATGCCCCCTTCCTTGCCTTTGTTGCCCAAAATTGCTTTTGCTGTTGGGGATATGGCTCGGTAGAATAAGTGCCTGCCTGGCAAGCAGGTCCTGAGTTCAATCCGCGGTACCATAAAAACAAACAAACAAACAAACAAACAAACAAACAAACCAAAATTGCTTTTGCTGTTCTAGGTCTTTTCTGGTTCCAGATGAACTTTAGAAATGTTTTGTCTAGTTTTGTGAGGTATGCTAATGGTATTTTAATCAGGATTGCATTAAATCTGCAAAATAATTTTGGGAGTATGGCCATTTTCACTATGTTGATTCTTCTTATCCATGAGCAAGGGATCTCTTTCCCATTTTTTGATAGCCTGTTCAATCTCCTTTTTCAGAGTACTGTAATTTTCAGTGTATAGATCTTTTACTTCTTTTGTTAGTTGATTTCTAAGTATTTCATCTTTTTGGATGCTATTGTGATGGGTGTGGTTTCCCTAATTAATCCTTGAGTGAGTTTGTTTGTATACAGGACTGCTATTGATTTTTGCATGTTGACTTTGTATCCAGTTACACTACTAGATTTGGTTATTAAGTCTAGAAAAACTTTTTAGGGAGTTTTTGGAGTCTTTTATGTCACCTGCAAATAATGATAATTTCATTTCTTCCTTTCCTGTCCTTATTTCTTTTATTTCTCTGTCTTGTGTAATTCCTTCGGCTAATGTTTCCAGAACTACATTGAATAGGAGTGGGAATAATAGTATTAATTCCTGATTGAATGAAAGTTTTCAGATTTTGACCATTTAGTATGATGCTGGTTGTTGATTTATCATAGATGGTGCCAATAAGGTTGAGGTACAGACCATCTATTCTGATTTCCTAAAGTTTTTTTGTTTTAAATCATGAATTAGTATTGAACTTTGTAGAAAGATTTTCTGCACCTATTGATATGATCATGTGATTTTTTTTCTTTGGCTCTGTTGATATGGTGTATTTTTATTGATTTACATATGTTGAATCATCCCTATATCCCTAGGATGGATCTCTTGTGATCATAGTGTATACTTTTATTAATGATTTGCTGCATCCTGCTTTGCTAGTATTTTTTATTTAGAATTTTTGCACCTGTGCTCATTATGTTCATTATGGAGATTGGTCTATAGTTTTCTTTTTTGGTTGGATCTTTCTCTTTGGTACCAGGGTAATACTTGCCTCCTGAATAACTGAAGGAGTATTGTTGTCCTTTAACTTCATTAAAGAGCTTAAGGAATATTGACATTAAATCTCTAAATTTCTTGTAGAATTCAGCAGTGGATCCATCACAGCCTGGGCTTTTCTTTGTTGATAAGTTTTTTTTTTTTTTTTTTTTTTTTTTTTTATGAGCAGAATATATTTATTGAGAGAAAGAATGCTCCTGTCTGAGAGAGGGACAGGAGGGGGGTCCCAAGCGGGCTATCTCCATGTTGGTAAGTTTTTTGTTTGTTTTAAAAGAAAATGTTTATCTAAATAGATTGCCCATGAAAACCACATCTCTTCTTCTGATTCATGTTCTCATTCAGCAATTTTCAGGAGTTCAATTTCTGAGACACAGAGTCTCCTAAGCCTAGATTTTACCATGCAGGTGACAAAAACATAATCTATTCCAATGATGATATAGGCCAACGCATAATGCCAACAAAAGCATATGGTAAGAAACATGTTTGGATGAGCAGTCAGGTCACATGCGGGACTTCCACTTGGGGATACAGCACAAGACCGATCTTAAAGGTCTGGAGAACCTGCAATAAAGCTCTTCAAACCAGTTTGTGGAAGTTTCAGTCTATCATCAGCTGGATCTAAGGCAGAGTGGCACATGGCAGAGGGCAGCAGTTCATGGTGGCAGAAAATAGTAAAACAGTAAGAGCCATTAGGGAGAAGCAGTGGTGGAAAAGTGCAAAGCAC